TAAACACCACACTTCATTTTACTTTTCCTGTTTTCCTGTCTTTATTGTGCAAAGACCCACCTTATTCTCCCAAGGCAGTGCAAACAGAATGCACAGCTTCCAGAGGCATCTTTGAAAACATAGATTAAATGATGTCACTTTCCCATTTCAAACCCTCCAGGGGCTCCCAAGCTCCACAGGGTGACCTCTGAGGCTTCCCAAGAACTGTCCCCTTGCTTCTCGGACCTCATCTTTGCCCCACATTCTTCTCCCTGTCCTCTAATGCACCCCACTCACTCACACCTCAGGACCTTTGTGCTGGCTGCTCTCATTGGCTGGACACTCTTCCCCCAGCTTACATACTCCTCCTAAGTGAGACTTTTCTTGACCACCCCACACATCTCAGTGATAGCATCTAATTCGATTTTCCACTTTTATTTTCTTATTGTGTCTCATACTAGAACATAAGAGTGTCACGCTAGCTAATTCAGCACTTTCCTCAGTACCTACAGCAGAGGTGCTCGATAAATACTAGTTGAACGAAAATGTTTTCCAAGTACCCAGATTTGTGGGGCATGAGGCAAAGTAACCTACTTAAACAGGCCTTATTCACAGCCACACAGCCCTTTAATGAGACTTTTTAAAATAGGTCGCCATCTTCTCCGGTAGTCTGGCCATAGAGAGCTTCCCCCAGCCCCGCCAGTGAGAAAAAAACAATGAGGTATTTCGTCTTAGCCACAGTTTCATTTTGTTCATCCACCCAATACCTAAAGCAGAAGCCCAGTGAACATAAATGCTCTCCCCTTTCTCCTCCTCCCTCATCATCGAGTCAGCCCCTCTCATGGACATGCCCAGCACCCACGTCTCTGTCTTTTAGCTGGACTATTCTAGTTTCCTTTCCAAATACTACCTTTCCCCATGCTGGTGACCTTTCATAAAACTATTCCTAGGTAGGAAGACCCAAAGCTATGCCAACTGGAAAGTTCCTCTGAGCATTCTGAATGGAGGGGGAGAAAGTGGTGGTGACAATGATGATGACGGTGATAGTAATGACAGTAATGCTAGAGGTGGGTTGGAGAGCACTTACTCCATGGAAGCATCTGAGAGAAACTACAGGCAATTACTGACACTATGGTCACCTAGTTGTCTGTTTCCCTTCTGCTCCAAGCCTGGTTCATCAGACATGCATTCGACCCCATCATTCCCCTCTACACTTGTAATACAGCCTCTGTTTGCTTGAGTTATTAGCCAGAATTGACTTCTTTTCCTGGAAATCTGGGCACCCTCCTAATTCTCCTAAATGTTTACCAAACCCATCTCTCCTCTATACTCTATCCCCACCCCTCCCCACCCCAATACTTCTCCCCGCTGCTTGGGTTTCAGCTGGCTGCACCAGCCTCTTTTTATCAGTCCAGCCTCTTTCCTTGTCTCCCCATCTCAACCTTTCAGTTTCAAGAACTCCAAACTTTCAGCAGCTTTCTCATCTTTTCCATGTGTTTTCCTACCTGCCACCTATTCCCCAGCTTCCCTGCCTCTCACTGCAGTGCCCACTGATGGCTGACCGCTTCATGGTCACCCTCAGCTCAGACATCCCGACCAGCCTAGGTGAGCGGTCTTCCGTCGCTGCTCACTGGTGGCTTCTCTGACAAATGCTCTGCCTTCCCTACTCATCTGTGGATTTTTCTATGACAAGCACTGTGTCATCTTCATTTCTATATCCGTACCACATAATAAGCACTGAACACACTTTGTTAGATGTTAAATGATTAAAAACATAATTCACTTTGAAATCCCCAGGTTGGATGCAACAATTGTTTTCATTTTCCTCCTTTCTAACCACGTTCAGAATTGCCATCAATTTGAACACCCAGGAATCAGCAGTGCTTTGCCGGACCCGAAGGGTGGTTTCGCTGCTGGAGAGGCAAGATGCACACCATTTTAGCAAGCATCCGAGTCATCGCTGGCTAAACTGCCTAATGGTTCTCCATTATGAAGAGACATTTCAGACACTGACTACATTAGACTGTGCCTCCAGTGAAGAGCACTGATGCCACCCAACCCATACCAATGTGGGCCCAAATAGGGAACATGCAAACAAAGCAGCAGCAACCTATAATCAAACCCATCTGGGCTCAAACCTCACGTGGCTGCAGTGTGGGCAGGGAGGGTGGGGTCCCCTTGGATCCACTGCACAAGGAGAGCTTCTCCTGGGCCCCTGTCCTCATCAGAAAAGAGGACTGAGACTCCCACCCAGAACCACTCAGCAAACGCAGGGCACCACTCTGAGTCTCACTCTATACACTACGACATCAAAGGTGACTGGAACACTCTTCAGATCAGAAGCAGCAGTGTGGAAAGAGCCCTGGGCTTGGAATGAGGAAGCCCAGCTTCTTAGAATCCAACCATAAGGATGTCTCTTACCGAAAGCTACAAAGCCCCAGGAGAGTTTTTTAACCTCTGTTGGCATCCATCCCCAAGCAAGAAAGATGAGGTTTACATGCGCTCAAATGTGTGAAAGCATCTGGTACATGATGGAGCCTCAGAAATTGGCACTGAGAGAGTCTCCAAAGGCCTGATACATCTTAAGTTCTATCAGAGGCCTGAGAATTGCCATCGTGCTTAGAACCCACCCAAGGCGCATTGCCTGGGCTGGCAGTAAGGCAAACACAGCCTCAGGCTCAAATATCGGCACACACACCTCTCCCTGATGGTGGTCCAGACGCACATTGTCCTTCCCAAAGCCATCTGCTGTGGGAAAGAAATTTCTTAATTGAAGCCCAACCCTGCCCGTGATTTGGGCACTGATCAGAGGCTCTCCACAAGGAAGATACATGTTAAACTCAAGAAAGTCACGGTCATACCATGCACACACACCCTGCCACCCTGCCCCGCACCGCTTACAGAGGAAAGGAAGGCGCGTGTCTCCAAGTTTTGCCCACTCTTCCCAACAGAACGGGCTGAATTAAATGCTTTTCTGCCCCCCCAAAAAAGCCCTGTTCTGCACCCTCAATGAAAGCCTGATTACTGACAATGGTTACAGTCAGAGTTCAGAGAAAGGTGATCTTGATGAAGAAGTCTAAGAGGATTTTAGTGCTCTCCCAATAAAATACCCTAGGGGCTGGCTTTCCAAAGAGTTTTGTTTTCACTACTACACTTGGATTCATCCAGGAGCCAACTTCAGTGTTGTAGACCAGATTCCCAGCAAAAGAGCAGTTCTTCAGACAGCTAGTGCTGTGAAAACCCACATCTCTGCAGTGAAGTGAAAAAGGGGGGCCACCTTTGGGGATCCACCCAGCAGGCTGCTGGGGAGATGCAGTCCTGACCCATCCATGGGGCTTTCATGGGGGAACACTGATGCCAAGGAGAGGGCACAGATGGGCAGTTCTGGGGGCCCAGGCTTAAGTCCTAAACTGGGGTGTCACAACAGAGCTGCAAACAGTGGGGGCTGGGGAGGGGTTTGAGTCACCATTTAGATTTCAGCCAAAGTCATACAAACAGGTAGCAAATAAAACTGGGCCTCTGCCGCACTGCCTTCCTTCCACCCCTCCAAAAAATGGGAAAACCATCACCAAACAAGGAGGCTGAAGTCCCCGTGTTCTGCTCTAGCCTCAAGACAATTTCACACCAAGTGGTCTGAAACCCTTTCCAAAGCTCTGATGCCTAAATTAAGAAATAGTTTATCGCTTTGACTGACAGCCAGCAGTTAAAGAAGCAGAACGTGGAAATCCTAAGAATTTGTGAATCTTCCTATTTGCCCAAATGTGTTTGTTTGGTCATTACACGGGGCACAAACCTACCCATTCTTCCTAGGGACAGTCAACTCTAGACAAGGCTCCTCTATCCTCCCCAGAATGGAGTTACTACCAGAGCTAGTCAGGCTCAGGGGATATCACCCAAGCAGCCACTCTCAGCCACACAGTCGGCGTTTAACCTCGATGTTCTAAAGCCGGGAAAGTCTCCTTTCTGCGGAAAACCAGGCTGGAGTGCTGGGGATGGCGCCCCAGTCTTGGCACCCAAGGAACTGCAGGCCCCTTTCACCCAGCCTAAGGGTTTCAGCACTACGGCAAATTAAGGCACTTTCACTCCTTCTTAAAGGAAAAAGAGCAGAAGGAAAGGCCACCGGCATGGGGGCGGAGGGCGCACGTGGCTACTGCCTGAGAGGAAAACGTCGCCCTCCGTCTGAGCTAGCTCCGCCAGCCACCGGTGCCTGACGTCCCAAGCTCACGCTAGCCGAGACCGGCCCAGAACTACCTGCTGCTGCCTAGGCGCCCTCAGGCCAAGTCTAACGAAGTTCACTCCCAGTCGCACCAGTCAGGGGAGGTTAGGCACCAGAGCAAACCCAGCTGGCCCAGGAGAGCCAGACTCCACCTTGCCCTAGCGCCCGACCCAGGTGGCTGTTTGGGGCCCAGGGGCCCATTGAGCAGCTGCCAGATCCCAAGCTGGGCTGCAGGAGGCCTCGGGTTTACCCGCGTTTCCCAGGCCGGCGGACCGGGTGGGGCGGCTGCGAGGAGCGCGCGCTCCGGAGGGCGAGCAGCCGAGTAGCCCGCGCTGGGGGCTGGCGGTGAGGGGATTCTGCCTCTCGCCTCCCCGGATCGCCATAACTCTGGCTTCCCGAAGGCCAGGGAGCTGCACTGGGCTCCCACCTGAGCGGCGGTGCGGCTCCCCTCTCCAACCTTCCTTTCCACCGCCCGGGCACCCGCGGCCCCAGGCGCGCAGGGGCTTGGCGAGCGGCTCCCCGCCCGCAGCCCGCACAGTTCCGGGACTCCCGAGTGAGCCGGTCCCAGCCCCACGCCCCCGGGCGGGCGGCCTGGAGCCACCCCAAGGTGGGGGCAAGGTGGCTCGGCGGCCCCAGCCCGCCCGGTGCCCTCTGCCAGTGCCAACAGGTATAGGAGGCGTTGTCGGCTCGGGAAGTGGGGGCCACGACAGTCCCGGGGTCTGGAAAGCGAGGAGAGGGGAGAGAACTGCGGGAAGAGGCGAGGGCGGGGGGCCGAGGGAGGACGCGAGCGGGGGGCGACACTCACCTCGCGCTGGGCTGGAGCCGGCCGCTCGGGCCCGCCGCCCCGAAGCTGGGATCCGAGGCGCCTCCGCGTGGAGCCGGGGGCTTCCTCCGAGGCCCGCAGGGAGGGGGCGGCACGGATGCAGAAGCCGAGCGGGCTGAGCGCTGCCTTCACGCTCACACCCCCAGCCGGCAGCCGCGTCCCCGCGCCGGCATCCTCGCTGCCGCCGGCTCCCACGGCGCCCCCGGGCCGCTCCCCAAGCGCGCGCCGGGGCCGGCGCGAGCCCCTCGTTGGCTCTGAGCGCGATCTGAGCGCGTTCCTCCCTGTCCTTGTCCTCTGCACCCGTCTGGGGATGTGTGCCCCGCACCCCCAGCACGGCGCGCTCCTCTACCCCTCCCGCTGCCGCTGGCCGTGCAGAGCCCAGGCGCGCGGGCTCAGCCCATGTGCGCGGCTGCCTCGCTGCGCCCCAGAGCCCAGTGGCCGAGGCCCCGCCGGAGTTGCGCGCCCTAGAAACTCCATGCAGCTCCGGCCTCCTCCCCAGCTCCTCCCAGGCGGGCCCCCCGGGGCCTTGAGGCCGCCCGCAGCGCGGTGTCCGCTCTGCCTACCCCCGCGTCTAGAGCCAAGGTTCAAGGTTCGCCTTGGGCGCCTGCCCCCCCGGCTGCTCCGAGGGTCGGGGGCCCACTCCCACCCCCACCCCCACCCGGTCGCCTCTCCAATGGCTCCCTCGGTTTCCAGGCAGCGCTACCTGAGGAACGCCTCGGCGCGCGCGCACTCACACTCGCGCACACACACGCACTGCACACACAGCACACACGCGGGGGGTGAGCTGGAGCTTGGCAGACGGTCCTCCTTCCTTTCCTCCCCAAAGAAGCTGCTGCCCACGTTAACTCCGGCAAACTGCTGTTCCTCGGTATTGGACAACTCACCCAAGCCTCCTCACCTTAACCACTTCGTTCCTGGCGCCCACGCCTCTGAGCCACCATCACACCTGCGTCCACGCCCAGCAGAAGGGCCAGCGGCTGAAATCACTGTAGAAGGATTCTACGAGCTCACTCCAGGCCCAGCTAGGAAGGTACTTCTATGGCCATCGCCCTCCAACACCCGCTGGGGGCTGAGAATACGTGGTCTGATCCCCACTTCTCCTTCCAAGGTCATACAATGGATCTGATGAGGGGAGAGGGTGGTGGACACAGGTGTGCGCTAGAAATCTCAAAGATTCTGCAACCTGCTGCCTCTGACCTCAGGCAAGTCCATATCAAAAGCCCCTTTTCTACTTTGCCCCAAGTGCAACTTGTCAGCCTGCAGGCACCCATCACCTTCCATGGCCCCCAGCTGTGTACTTCTCTCATGCCCAGAAGCTGACAGAATACACATGCAGCCAAGGCTTGTGGTGTCAAGGGAAAGAAAACAATCAAGACATCAAGATGGGTGTCAGGCTGCCCCAGAGTTAGCCTCCTGCCAGCTCCTTTCTGCTCCTCCCAAGCATGGCCAAGGGAGAAGGAATAACCCACCTGGCTGGGGCAAGCGGGGCAAGCTGGTTTGGCTTACACTTACTTCCCAAGGTCCCCAGCTCTTGCCCCCTCTGAGTGGCAGAAAGACCAGTTCAGATGCCTCTAATCCCAGACTCAAAGGGAAAAAAAAAAATATATATATATATATATATATAAAGTCTCACACCAATCAGAAACAAAGCAGGCAGCGCTGCCATAAATCTTTCATCCAAACATCCAGCAATCACCTCTCTGCTGGCTGCTGCAGCTGCCAAGGGAGTTGGGCACTGGGGCTGCCAGCCAGCTGCATAAGTTAATCAGGGGCTGCTACTTGCCTGTACCTCTTGGCATGTAGCCTGGGTGTGGTTCCTCCAAATCTCCAGAGCATTCCCTACTGGCACCATGACTCTGGCATTTAGCATTTGCTACCTAGTCCTGTTACTACCTTTTCTTGCACTAGCCTTGTGTTTTATGCACCCAATTCCCATCTGTACCTCTTTTCTGCCCCTTTTCTTTCACCATCAGTAAATACATCTACTCCAAGTGCCCAAGACCCAAGACAGACAGGAGTCAAAAGGGAATGCTGCCTTCTAAATAAAAAGAAACAGGCAGAAAAAGAAAGCTCATTGAGGTGTGGGCATGCTTTATTCCCATCAAAATACAGAATATAGAAAGCATTAGGTTCTTTATAAAACATTTTCATTTTGTGGCAAGAGGTTTTAGAGTGACTTGTCTGGCAGCAAACCACTGCCTCGTGGAAACCTGAACAACCACATTAACCAAAGCAAAATCTAGGAAGTAAAGCAAGTAGAGTGTAAAAACACTGGCTTTAGGATTGAACGGTGGGCAGAAGCTAGAATTTTCTTGAAAGGCTTAGCAAAACTGCTAGGGTCTCAGGAAAACTGTTGGGACAGGCTTGAGGGCTGCCAAGAAAACCATCTCTGCAAGCTGGAAAGAGGAGCATTCTAGTCAGGTAACAGAACTACTGCCTGCAAAAAGGTGATGCATGTGAATACCTCATGGATTCATGAGAATACCTCATGAACTCATGGATCTCACCAGGAAGATTTCCAAATAGAATATGAAAAGTACCAACTGAGTTCTTCCAGATGCCTATGCTAAAAGTCAAGTAAAACTGAGTCAAAGAAAATAGCTGGTGCTTTATTGGTTGAATTTAGAGGAAATAAGAAGGAATCAAGCCTTGCAGCTAAGTTAAAAAAACAATCATTTTTCTCTCTGGTATCTCCAAGCAAGAACTTTCAAGTCCACGGCATAAAAATGCGGTCTCTGGGTAAACTGAGGATGGAACTATAAGACCCTTCGTTAAGATCCCTCATATTTAAGACCACTCATAAAGAGTTTCCAGGAATTTCAGAGATGTGACTCCTTAGCAGTCTCACTGAGAGTTAAAGAAAGAGAAGAACCTCTTCTTAAAGAGAGTTGCAAGTGTGGCATTTGTCTAATGGGTGGATAATAAATTGAACCACAGTTTAAATGCCTCTCATCCCAGAATCTAAGTGTATTAAAAGAAATTTTTCTTCCTTGGGGTTCAAAGGGACAAAACCCCTACAAAATGAAAGAGGCCTTTGGATGCTCAACCCTCTTGGGACAATAAACAGCCTGCAAACATGAGCCATTTCTTATAGGAGAGGGTGCATGACAGCGAATGAAACAAGAACCACAGAAACTCATTCCCAAGGAGGACTGTGCCTAGATTAGGAATTAATGACATGTTCCCAGCGGAATTTCAGAACTGCTGCAGACGAATGACAGTTACAGGAAAGACCACTCATGTCCTCCCTCACTGGATGTCCACTGCAGCTTTCATCTCACTGGGTATGTTGGGTGTTCAAAGGAAAGGACTGTCACCAGAGTGAGAGGAATTTCACCCAGGGAGGTTCATCCACACCTGAACCTACTATAGGTAAATAGACTCTGATGCCACAGGAGATGAGACATTTTAGGTTTGGGAGCTGTTCTGGATATTTTTCATGTTAGAAGAATACATATCACTTTTGACTGAAGATGAATTTTTTGCTATGGTGAATGGAATGTGATCCAAATTCTTTGATATTCCTGCCACTGAGAGTTGGATTCTCTCTCTCCCCTTAAATCTGGATAGGATCTGTTTCCTCTTTAATAGAATAAAGAAGGTGTTTTGTTTCAATTTCCTGGTCTAGCACTTAAGAAACTGGTAGCTTTCCTTTCCTGCACCTTGGGACACTTTCTTAGAGCCCTTGTGAGCAGGTAAGAAGTTTACTCCACTGCACTGCTGGTGGGAATGCAAACTAGTACAACCACTATGGAAAACTGTTTGGAGGTTCCTCAAACTGCTAAACATGGAGCTTCCCTACGACCCAGCAATCCCACTCCTCGGTATCTACCCAAAAGACACAAAAACACTGATTGAAAATGATACCTGCACCCCCGTGTTTATTGCTGCTTTATTTACAATTGGAAATACATGGAAGCAGCCCAAATGCCCAAAAGTAGATGACTGGATTAAAAAGATGTGGTACATATATACAATGGAATATTACTCAGCAACCAAAAAAGAGAAACAAATGTCCTTTGCAGCAGCTTGGATGGAGCTGGAAAAGATCATGCTTAGTGAGATAAGCTAGAAAGAGAAAGAAAAATACCAGATGGTTTCACTCATAGCAGGAGTATAATGGGCCAGGAAAAAAAAAAAAAAAAACAAGAATAATGAACAGCCATATACCAGAAAAGTTTACTCCAGACCACCATGTTAGGAGGCGCACTGAGCTAGCTGTGTGGACTGTGAGAGGGAGAGTCTAAAGGAGAAATGAGGGGTGAGGAAAGGAGGAAGGTGAGGGAAAGACAGGGTGAGGGAGAGATCTGCTACTGCCTAGAGATTCTAGCCCCTACGCTAGAGTCTTCCCAGCTAAAGTCCCAAACACTGAGGCAGAGACAAGCTTCATGCCCTCTGGATTCCTAACCTACAGACAAGAAGAGGTAGTAATAAATTGGTATTTTGACTGATTTAGTTTTGGGGCAATTTGTTTTACAACAATAGAAAACAAGAAAAAGTGTGTTAATGTGGGAAGATGTCCAAACTATATTGCAAAGAACAAAATGAAATGGCAAAATAGCATGTGCAATGCCATTTCTAAAATAGAAGACTTTGTGTATAGTATCCATAGCTACATAATATATCTAAACAGAATATAAATGGAATAGCTACTACCTGATTAACTCTGGAGGATTAGTTCTATTTTTTAGATCTATATTACATTAATATTCTATGATAAACATTTTAATTTGGGCCAATATACTGCATTTATTTTATTTTAATGCAGTACATATGTAGCATATACCTTTGAAATGAATAACACATTCTACTTGTTAGATCTACTTAAAGCAAGGATTTAACTCTATTGAGGATTATTAATGAAAAGACATATTGACACATATGCTAATCATTATTTTAATTTCTAAGATAAATAAAAATTTGAGTTAGCAACAAAGTGTTAGGAAAGGAAAAAGTCAATATGGGCTTTAGCATTATATGTAACTCAAGATCACAGAAGAAAAATGTACCAATAAGCAGGGTGAATTGTCTCATCCAAGGCTCATGTGTTCATTTAGGTGGAGGTCAGGTGTGAAAGTAAAAAGAAATATTTTCCTAATGAAATAGATAAGAACATGAATTATGTCTTCACTTTGTCTGAAAAAAAAAATTCATTAACTTATTAGCCATTAAAAAAATAGAATCAGCCCTCCCTGGTGGTGCAGCAGGTTAAAGCTCAGCACTAAAAAGCTTAAGCCACTTCCGCATGAGTTTGATTCCCGCCTGCCCGGGAGGTGACCACATGGCGTGGCAGACCTCTCCTGACTGCCCGCTGCTCCTCTCAGCAGTGTACTTCATTGATCTGCCTG